GCTTGCGGGCCGGCTCGGGCTTTTTCCAAGCCGAGCCATGGGCAACCCGAGCCGGCGAGCCAAAATGTCATCCCTACTTGTGATATACCTTTTTGGTTATTTTGAGTTCGTAATTCTCTTCTGAAATATTATTTTCTTTTTTGCACAAATAGGGCGAGCTCAATAGGTGGATTGAAATTTTTCTTGATATTGCATAGTCTAATTATTATTTTTTATGTTAGTCCATTTTAAAGTAGAAGAATTTAAGTATTGTCATACTTAAATTATAGGCTATAATATGCCTCACTTATGGATCAAATAAGACTTATTACAAAAACATCATTCATTCTCAAACTATAATTTAATTTTTGATCTTTCAATTTTCTTCTCTTCTGTTGGGTTTTTGTCTATACTATTTTGAGTAATGTAGTTGAATTTCTTAGCTTTGTGTAGATTTCTTAGTCGAATTTTCTCCCTTACATATATACTATTGTTAAGTAATCAAAACGGCCTATATTGAAAATGTATATAAGAAATATTAGGGTTAGAATCGAATTTGAATCGGAACCGATGATGGAGCCTGGCATTTTTCTCTATACTAGTAGTTTAATTGATATTCAAAGCACGTCCATGGAAAAAGAAAGAGAAAGGTACGTAAGATGAACATGATAATTGTAGAGCCACCAATAGTCGACCACCAAGGTTTTACAAGCTCAATTTCACAAACACAAAGCATCACTTCAAACCAAATGACCCAAGAATACCTCAAAGCCTTCACCTACGATCGCTAGAAGTTTACTCACTTTGAGAACCACTACTAAGGAATGTTAAAGCATTATGAAGAAATCCACAAGGGTAAGGTAAATGATGAAGCAAGAGACGGTAGAGAGAAAACCACAGAATCGCCCCAAGAATACACGGTCTTATGGAGGCCGAAAATAAGCAAGAATGTATGGGCATCAATTGGACAAAAAGGTAAGTCCATTAGGTTACAATAATGGGTCATGGGCCCAATTGATATCAAATGGGTTTTAATGTGGGTCTCCAACAATACTAGCTATCCAAGTCAGTAAATAATCAGGCCATGAGTAACACAACTTAATTTGGTTGCTTCAAGTAGTCCAATTAACTTTTTGGGTTGGATCGTTTTAATTTAGGTGTTGATATACCGTTCAATCATTCAGTCAATGTTGACGAAAAAATTAAACCAGGTTAGCATCATTGCCTCAGGAGGTCATTTGA